GGTTTTTCTTACATTACAAACCCAAACTATAAGTAAAGAGCAAAATCAGAGATCCTTAGTAGGCAGTAAGGAGATAGCTCTTTCTTGCAGGAGAAGGGATCAAAGAAATGGAGAGAAAGGGACAGGAGAGGAGGATAGAAAATAAAAGAAGAAATTGGGATGTATTTTGTATGTGTCTCCATGAGAAATGGAAGCATTTTGTACAGTCAATACACTCTAATAACAAACCAAGTTTAAAAAATTCAATTCAGTAACTACTGTCCCTTAACACTTTAGAAACCTTCACAGGACTGCCCAACCAACTCCTGGCGAAAGTCCTGTCCGGTTTTGAACTGTCATCATAAGGCAATATCTTAAGGTTATGCAACTTATTAAAGGGTGAAACTGGAATTAAAATCAGGCACTCTAGCTCCAGAGTTCCTCATTGTAATAAATATTGATTCTGTATTTTGAGAATTTGGTAAATTGTACGTCCCTCAAAAGTAAAAATTGTTCAACAGAGAATTTTTAAGTTTTTAGGAAAAAGATCCTCTACATTTCCTGACTTTAAATATTCAAATTTTATAGCATGATCATTAAGAACCTTAGATTTCTTTTCTTCCTTGTTTTATAATTTCATCAGACTTTTCATGCTGACTTTGCCAATTTTGTAGTTGCTCCACTGGCACGAGAGAAGGAGAGCATTCTCTCACCAGATACAGAGTTCGACTACTGTGAACAGTTTACATTTTTGATGTCATTTTGAACTACATACCTATTGTTTTCTTTCCTAGGTGATATGGATTCTTCTGCTGTAATACATTGCTTCCAACTTGTACTTAATCTATATAATTTATGCTTCACAAACTTTCAAAGATATTTATGACTATTACATTTTCATTGTAAAATTCAGTCCTTAGTTGAGAAATAGGTACTTTTGGTCTCAATTCTAATCTCTCTGATCAATTGGCTTCTGGTTCTTTTGTTTGTATTTTCCTGGTTGTGTTGCCAATTCTTTTTTCAATACTTTTTTTCTTTGAATATGAATATTCTAGTTTTTCTCATGTCCTTTTTTATCTTTTCTTGAGTATAATATGTAAGCTAAATCATGTATACTTAAGGCATACAGAGTATTTTGAGATACATATATGTTACCAAACAATCCCTACCATCAACCTAATTAACATATTCCTCACTTCACCACCTTATAGCAAGTCTTACTTTCCTCCACTTAGGAGAAAGCAGGAAACATTTCTTATTCACACGATGGAAAACATGTTCTCAGCTTCTCATTCTTGGAGACATTTAAATCAGGTAAACATCATTCTAGATGAGACCCTGATATCCTCACAGAGTAACACACTTTGAAGTTTAAACAAATTGGCAAAGCCACGTATACGGTTTGTCACCTGCAGTTTCACTGTATGAAGGGCTTTTCTCTCAAAAATTCATGTCAACATCATGGTCACTTAATCATATAATTAATTTTTTCTATCTCACTACTCTCACTCATCATGATTTCTCTCAGTCTTTTTAAATCAGTGTTTACTTCTATAGTTTTCATTTTAAAAACTGTATTTTAGAGATTTCTCTTTCTTTGTTTTGAAGATACGCAGTACAAATTAAGTATTTATTAAACCTCAATAAATTTACAAAACGCTCTGAACCAGAGCTGATGATCACACTTAACTGGCCAAATGGTGTAATTTCCACATGAGGAATGGGCGGTAGGGGGCTGGGAAGCAGGATGCATCACAGTGACAGGCTCTCAGGTACCCTGGGTCTCTTCAAGGCTGACCAGTGTAGCTCGGGTCAGTGACTCAGAGCTCACTACAGGTTTGAAAGGAAGGAAGAAATCTCAGTCAGATTCTCCATGTCAACCAATGTTGGTCCAAAAGACTGTGGGGACACAGCAGAGAAGGTGTTGTGACAGTGACAGATGCTTTAAGCTTGATTCCTGTACAGAGCCCAACCACAAAAAAGAAAGAGTCTAGAATAGTATTTCATCATTCATAAAAGAGATAACGAGTTTGTGTCAAAAAATATTTATGGATTAATTTTTAAAATTAGCAACCAAAACATTGGGGGAGACTTAGAAACATCAATTCACAGAAAGGGAAATCGGAAAAGCCACAGATTGGAAGAGATGTGCAGGATCACTAACATGGGAAAATACAGTGAGAGGCTACTTTCCAGGAGGTAAATTAGGAAGACTGAAGAACCCCAGCAAAATCTAAGGAGGAAAAGCAAAATTTTCCTGCAGCACTAATGGGACGAGAATAGAAACCCATCCTGCTGCCACTAGAAAAGTGAAGCATAACGGCAGCCCAACAATGTTATTTCTATGTGAAAAGATATTTGATGACATATTCTGTGAGGGAAAAGGAGGACCAGGAATCACATCTACGCAGAGGGGAAAGCTGAACTGGGTTCAGCCTCCAAGACAGTCTCTGGCAGTGCTGCAGGGAGCTGTGGATGGGAAATGACCATTCAGAGTTTTCCCTAGGTGAGCAGACATAGCCCAGCTTTGGTGTCCCAGCACTGAGCAGTCACTTGGTGTGGGCCAAATGGGAAGAGTCTTGGTGGAGGCGGCTCTCTGCATCTGAGAGTGCTGACAGGGGAAGGCTGTGCTCCTATTGCCTGGCAGCAGCAGTAAGGTTTGCACTAAAGCAGGAAAAGACTCAAGGTCGCAGTAACTTAGGACACCAATTTATTCCTTGTTCCTGCAAGGCTACCATGGCTTAGCAGCTCCCAAAGTTCAAATAGAATTGCAAGGTCACTCTTCTTTGAATTTTAATTTAATTTAATAGAATTATAATTTTTATTGAAGACAATATGCATTAAAATCAGCATAAGACATTTATAACTGTTCTTAAGGTACATGAAAAGAAATTCAAATGATGTCCAATGAAGACTATGAAATCTAAAGTGAAAACTGACTTAAAAGACTTTAAACATAGAATTACAAAAGTTTTCGTACATTGGCTGTTTAAGCATTGTGCACCATAGCTACAGTCATGCACAATACCCAAAGGTGGGGAGAAAGCAAAGGTCCACCAAAGGATGAATGGATACAGAAAATGTAGCCTTTCCCTAGCATGCAGTATTCTTTAGCCCTGAAAGGTAAAGAAATCCTAAAACAAAGAACCTCAGCACATTGTACTAACTGAAAGAAACCACAGACAAAGAGCTAAATGTATTATGCCACGTGTGTGAGGTGCACAACAGTGAAATTAATCAGTCACTCAAAGAAAATGATGGACACCAGTAAATGAGACACAGCAAAATTGGGAGTCAGTGTTTATTGCACAGAGTTCCATTCTGTCAAATTTCAAACCTGTGCAGAATCACTAAGTCATTAAATTATACCAATACAAAACAATAAATGTTATGTTACATATGCTTTACCCCCATAAAAATATTTAAAGCTAAATGTAGATATTTTGCAGGTTTCCTGATAGGTATAGTCCCACTGCAAAATTTCCCATTCAGCTGACCTTACACTAAGACTCATGATTCCTGGTTGCCTCTTCTAAGGTAAGGTTTAGTTCATTTTGCAACTTTGCGATCTTTTAGACACACTTTGGTTTTTTGTTGGTTTGTTTTATTGGTACCAGGGATCCAACTCATGACTGCCTGCTTGCAAGGCAGGTGCTTATGTCGCTGAGCTAAGTCCTCAGCCCCTTAGACTCACTTTGTTTTACATGTATCATTTTTTAACACAAATTTGCTTTTACATATGTTTAAGTATTACTTCATTTTACATTTCAGATACAGACGGGAGTCCTATTTTGATTATTTATTCTTGGTGATGCTAGGGATAGAGCCTAGGTTCTAACCCTAAGCAGCATACACATCCACAATAACCAACTTACTAAAATAACTAAGGAGATAAAATGTCTCTAAAGTCAGAACTTCCAGCCAGATTCGACTGATCAAACCTCTAGCTCCCCCATGAGCACTGGCTCCTGGGGTCTGAGAGTTCGCATGTGTAAACACTGCAGGACTGGGAAGCTGTGTTGAGCCTCACAGAGCGTGGAAAGGCTGAGTGGAAGCCAGAATGAGTGAGGTCAGAGGTTTTCCCAGATCCTCAGCATCCATCAGTGTGAACCCGATTGATAGTGTGAGCTGAACTCACAGCACGGCAGGGAAAGTGTCCTGAGGGTGACAAAGTAAAGAAGAGGTGTCCCTGGCATCTAGTCCACAGCCACAGGCACACTCAGCAATATGCGGAGTTGCAGGATGGCCCTCCCTCATCCCCTGTCATCCTATGAGGAGGGGCTTCCACTAGGAGCCTCAGCTATCATAAAATGAAAAAGCCTCATACATCCTGAAAAACACGTCAACATTCACTGAGGACCGGCTCAGGCCACATCTGTGATATGACTGATACCTTCCAAGTACCCTGAGTTTATTAGATTTGTGACTACAAAAACACCTGAGTCGGGCTATTTTATATGCAAAAAAGCTGTTTCTTTTGGATAGCAGTTTTGGAGACTGGAAGTCTAAATTGCAAGAAGCAGTCTTCTGTAAGGTCACTGATTTCTCTAACACATCACAGCAAGTGTGTGTATGTTCGTGTGTCTGTATGACTGTGCGTGCATGCACACGATGTGCATGTGTATCTCTGTATGCTGTGTTTTCGTCTATAGCACAAGGACGCAATCAAGGGGGCTCATGGCATAGTGGCTTATTCTAACTGGTAACCTCTCAAAGAGCCCACATCTAAATAAAATACATTCATTATCTACCATTTAAATAGCATTATCTTACTTTTTTGGGGCGGGCAGGGATCTAACTCATGACACTGCGCTTGTGAGGCAAGCACTTGTGCCACTGAGCTAAACCCCTGGCTATCATACACTTTTAAAGAGAAAATTTCTGCATTAGTTCATGGGAACAAACTACACTGAAAGAGACAGTGCCACACTGGCAACCTGTTTCAAAGTCATACAAAGAGAGAAGTGTGTGTGTTCTTTATTAGTCAACATAGGCAGTTCCTGGGTTGGCTTTGTGTAGCATTAGGTCCAGTGGAAGTGAGTCAGTTGCAAAAGGTATCTGGCAACATCTGGTGAATCCAGGATTGGAGACGAATAAGAGTGCTCCATCCTTTCCACTTCACCCAGGTTTCCAGGGTTGATGCTGTTGCCAGCAGTTTTCCTGGAGAACTTTCCCAAAGGCACATCTATGTTAGGAGCAGTCAGTAAGGAAACTTCAGGAAGATCAGTTGGAAGGCTGTCCAGGGACTGCAAGCAGGAACCAGGGTGCATAGGATTCTGAGGGTCTAGTGGGGAACCCAGGAATTGCAGATCAGGGGCACAACAACAGCCAGAAGGCTGCCCTGGAACCTGCAACCCAGTGCTCACAGACATGGGCTCCTCCACTGAAGCTTCCTCTTCAAGCAAGGGCTGATCCTGTGAACTAAGAACTGCATGCCCTGTGCCCACCATAGGGAGTCCTTGAGTCTCAGGCAGCATTGTGGAGCCCTGAGCCTTCAATCTGTGAGGAGGACGACCTCTGCGCCTTCTGCCTGTTGAGGGAAGGAAATCTGAGGAGAGCAGATCAGAAGAAGTCAAGGATGGGATCTGGGTGGGCCTCTGGTAGCTGTTGATAAGCAATTCCCTTTTGGAGGAGGAACAGTGTCTCTTCACAGGAGGCAAAACAGTGCTGTGACTGTGCCCTGGGTCCTCTGCTTCACTGAGACTCAAAGCTTCCCCACTAGGCAGGTGCATCTGTTGGGAGTTAGATCTCTTCCCATGAAAGCGCACTTTCCTCCCTGAGATCAGCTCCTGCCTAACATGCAACCTGCATCCAGTGTGTTCCACAGTGACCACATCCTGTCCACATTTCCACAACTCATAGCGCTCAGGTTGCAGGATGCGCACAAATGCATCCATGGAAAAGCTGACCCTCACCTCCCCACAGCTGCACTGAGAAGCCACTTTACCATAATCAATCCACCGAGGGGTGGCAAAATTGATGGCCTCTGCACAGTTGAAGCCGTGGTTGAAGCCAGCATGATAGCTATAGGGAAATGTCACCATGAACTCCCCAGCCTCCTGAGTCATGCAGTTAAAGGGGATCCCATTGTTCCTGAGCACTGTGGGTGAGATGAGAGCCACCTTGTGCCTCAGGAATGCTCTGCAGACTCGGGAACTGCCTGGGAAAAGCTCCCTGGCCAGCCTCTCCAGGCGTTTGCCATGCTCTGGAGGCACTGCATACCATGTTTTGGGCTCCCCAAAGTGCAGGTAGTTGATGCTGTAGAGGTCCATGTCCTCCGTGTGCCACGCAAATGTGGTCTTCCACATGCCAAAGTAGAGGTAGGGTGTGTTGACACCCTGGATGACAACTCCACACTCCTCCTCCAACAGATCCAGAATGGTTCCCAGGTGCCCAAGGTTCCACTGCTTTGTGTTTTCATCAAACAAAGAGCCACTGATGTCAGCACCATAAATTGGGGAACCACAGAGGTGATTCTTCCAGTACTTTCTCTCCAAATCTTCAAAACTCTGGTGCGGAGGAGCCTGGTACTTTGCACTGTTGGCCAGGTGCTGGTACTTCCGCACTGTCATGGATTTCTTCCTTTTATGGAATTGAGTGAACACACCTGCCTGTCCAGAGACCACCTGCTGCAGAGGAGTGGCTATTAAGAGGTCACTGATATTATCATAAGACTCTCTGGCTCTCCATTCCTTGGGAGGAATGACCTTTGCTAGGCCAGCTTTATGAGCACCCTGGGATTCCATGTAGGCAATGTATTTGCTGAAATTTGCAAACTCCTCCATGGTTGGCCGGAAGGTCATGACTGTGGATCTTGGCTTCTGGGTGCCAAACTGCTCAGGTTCCATCTCTCTACTGTAAGCAGCACTACCAGGCACAGTCCCCAAGTTCATAGGTGGGTGGAGACTTCCAGTGACAATGGAAAGTGCTTGCCTCTTTTCCTTGCTTCTTTTTATCTTGTGCTTCTAAATGTTTTCTTATATCTGGTTTTCAGGAATTCAATTTGACCTTTTGATTGAAAGAAATTGTATTTTACATGTAGGTAATTCACCCACAGTACTCTATTGTCTATAAGTCTGAAAAAAATTGATTGCATCAGAAACTGCAGATATTAACAACAGAGAGAAACTAAGTTCTAAAATCTAACCTGTGAAACAAAAACCATAACAGTTTATTCCAATTTGAATAGGAAAAAATCAACTTTTGCAAACCTCAGAGTATTTCTCATATGGGACTTATTGGCCATCAGATCAAATTGGTTTTCAGTGTCAGTCTGTTGGTGTCTGTCATTGTTTTGTTAATCTTGTTTGTCACTGGCTTAGTGTTTGTTATTGTCAGCTGTGTCAGTCTGCTTCTGCTTCTCTTTTGCCCCTGCAATGTGTTCTTAACCATTTTCAGGAATTTTGTTGAAAAATCTCTTCCTATGGCAAACCTGTTTATCTAGGGAAGCTCCAAACATTTTGTGAATTTAAATGGCCTGCTTTCAGGGTCTCATGGCCTCAGAAATGGAATCTACCTCTCTTTGTGTTGGCAGGTCTATCTCAAACCTCTGAAAAACAATAGCACTGCCACTGCAGGTTCCTCTGCCTCCATCACCTTGGGCACCCCATCCAGCTGGTTCCCCAGGGAAAGGGCTTACTTGCCTCCACCTGTAGGCCCCAAACTCACTATGTGTCACTGAACCCTGAAATCTGAGTCCCAGATGTCTCCAGGCTCCCACTGCAGAAATTACTTCAGAGCTCCCTTGGTCCTTCAACAATGGTGTGTAATCAGCCTGAGAACAATGCCTTAAATGGTTCCTGCCCAGGGACTCCTGGCCCAGCAGCAGCAATACAAGCAACCACACAGGGGAGACCTGAGAAGAGTCAGAAATGAAGCCAAAGCCAAAATCCATGCTGCATGCAGGGGCAATGGGGGCTTCCAGCTTGCCAAGGCCAACAATATGGCAGCAGCATGGCTTCCCTGGCTGGCACAAGCCTGTCCCACTGCAGTGCCCCTTCTCTGGGCTTCCATTCTGAGACCCTGTTTCCCCCCCCCCCTCCCAAGAGCTTCCAACAGCTTCTCCTATTCCGAAGTAGGGAGGCTCTCCTATGTTTTCAGCAGACTCATTTGGGTGCTTTTAAAAGTAGCTGCAACTTCCGGGCGAACATGGCGGACAGATAACAGCAACTACCGGAGGCTCTCTGAAAGACTCAGCTCAGAAGCCAGGAATGGTGCGGACTAAGGAGACATAAGCAGGTGGAGATATGCTCTGCTGACTCAGGAACGAACTGGGCTGAGAGAAACCAACTTGGAATGCAGTCCTGGTGCTAAAACATGAAGAGAAAAGCCTCGGTGTGGAGGCTGGACCCCGCACCATTGTAAGCCGCGATTTGGGTTTCCTGCCGCGTGGCGGCTGGCTGCCTCTACAGTGGCTCGGCAAGGAGAGAGACACACAGAAGCTCTGAGAACGGCAATCTGCGAACGGCAGGGAGGCGTGCACTGACTTGTGGTGAGGTGAGTGAGAGAAACTGACACTCTACCACAGTTTGACTCCAGCAGAGGACTTTCTGGGCCCAAGCAGTCCTGCGGGAGCAGGGCGCTGTGGCGACTCCAGCCACACATCCCCCTCTCAGGCGGGATTGGTGAAAAGTGCCTGACCTGCGTGACGCTGCCGGCGGACCTGGTAGACTGTCCCAACCCAGATCCCAGAGCCTGACGGTGGCCGGGAGGGGAGACGTGTAGGCTGCTTGGTCCGTAACTCCCTGGTGCGCAGCGGTGAGTGGGAACACCTAACTGGCGCAATTCGATCAGGCTGTGGCTGACTGGGAGAGAAGCTGGGCCTCTTATATAAGCTTGCATATATAAGGAACAGAGAAGAAGAGGCAGCATGGGAAAAGGCAGCAACAAGAAAGGCTCCTCGGCCCCCAATTCTGAGAAACAGGCAATAGCAGACACCGCACCAATATACATAAGGCACCATATAGAGAGCCTCATAGACCAATTCAGGAATGAAGTTATCAACGACCTGAAGCTAGAAGTAGGCAGAATAGTTAGAGAAATGCTAAGTACCACCCAAGAAAAAACAGGTGGTGGAATGGAAGAACAGAAAAAAAGGGGAGAATTGTTTGATGGAGAAAACAGAGAAAGCATAGAATACGTGAAGCAGGTTCAAAGGCACTACCAAGATACTAAGAAGTCTATAGAAGACTGGCATAACAGCTTGAAAGAAACTAAGGACAGACTATCTGAACTGGAGGGCAGACTTGTAATATGGGAGAATGAAATGAAAAACTTCTTAAAAATAACAAAGAAACAAACAGCAATAATACAAAGACAAGAAGATGATAAGAGGATCCATAACTTAAGGATTAAGAACATAAAAGAAGAAGTAGGGACACAAACAAGTGAACTACAAAAGCTACTCACAGAAATAATCCAGGAGAATTTTCCTAATTTAGCAAAAGGTAAAGATACTCAGATATATGAGGCATACAGGACCCCAGCCACCTACAACCCAAACAGAGCAACACCCAGGCATATAATAATAAAAATTCCAGAAATTCAATATAAGAACAGAATATTAAAAGCTGTAAGAGACAAGAAACAGACCACTTACAAGGGAACACCCATCAGAATTACAGCAGATTTCTCGGCACAAACCATCAAATCACGAAGAGCGTGGGGGGAAATAATTCAAGCTTTGAAAGATAATAATCTCCAGCCAAGATTGAGATATCCTGCACAACTGTCCCTGGAAATTGATGGAAAAACAAGGTGCTTCCAGGATAAAGAGGAACTGGGGGAATTTGCAACCACCAATTCAACTCTAAAGAGAGTTTTGCAGGATATTCTAAAAAAAGAAAAATACAAAGAATCCAGAAATAATAGCAGAGAGGCCACAATGAATGGAGCAGAGAACAAAATGAAGAAGACAAACTGACAGCTACTGACAGAAAAAGAGCTCAACAGAAATGAGGCAGAGAAGATTGGATGATAGGAACAGCTATTTTGGAGAAAATGACATCTTAATAGGTAATACTGATTTAGTATCATCTTGTTTTGAAGTCTCATCTAGCTTTTGTCCTTCTGTCTCCAATGGTCTAAATAGGCTGTATCTTATTGGATTTTATTATGTACGATAGTATAAGCAAAAACCTTTTAAAGACAAGGAGATTATACAGAAACCATTGTTCATTTTCTGTTAGTCGATTCTAAATACTCTGTAATGCTGTCATTCTCTTGAATGGTTTTACATTGTTTTGAACCGAAGTTGTACTCAAGGATTTCAAAGAAAGAGACAATATGGTAACTACTTTTAGGTTAGGATTATCTGGTGGTGAAACACTATTCTGCTTAAATGGTTATGTTTTGATCTGCGCTGTTTCATTGTTATGCCCTCTTTTATCTCAATCTCCACTCCATTATTTACTTTTTTATCTTTATCCTTTTAATTAAAGGAAAAAAATAGCAGGATATATTATAGTAACCCACTTTGACTTTTCGTTACCTTGATTTAAAGCCCTGTATTAGTCTCACCATCTGGTTTTTAACTGATGTTCCCCTATTCTGTTTTGCTTGATAGTACCAGGTTCGAAAGTTTAAGCAACAGCTGTGAAGATAGTGAGATTCATTATAACGCCCATTCTCGTTGACTATTATCTACTTTTGAAGACCCATAATGTCTCCAATGTTTTGGTTTTGTTGGTTTCGTTCTTTACTGTTTTGTTCAATTTTATTATAACTGATGATATAGGCAATTCTATTAGAGATAGCGGGAGGCATTATGGTAACCATTGTTGATCACCTTGTATTATGTTTTTACATTATCTATTATGTCCACCCTTTTGACTTGACCGAGTCTGTTCTCTTATGTCACATTTGGTTTTACTCTCTTCCAAAAAAGTAATAAGAACCGTGGGAGCAATGAAACCCAAAATCTGTAATAGTCATGGTACAAAAGAGAGGAAAAGAAAGTGCTCCAAACTATATAACTGCATGTATATTTAAGTGTATAAGATAGAAAATGATATCACAGAGTTTTATTGGATCAATGAACAGAACTGTTTGCAGTATCATTGATGGAATGTCCACTTTACAAGCTTTAATTTTGTGACTTGAACAATTATTTCTAAGATGACAATATGTAATCCATTAACTAGTGATTTCCTACTGTTCATTTTTTTTCTGTAAATCTGTATAACTTGTACCCTTTCCCTGCTTTTTTTTTTCTTTTCTCCTTAAATAAAAAAAAAAAAAAAGTAGCTGCAAGGAATCCAGCTAATCTGTCAAAACAGAGGAAAGTTAGGGATCTCACAATGCTCCATCCACATTCTTGGAGCACCTCCTAAGGACCTTTATAGGCACCTGAGAATAGATGTGTCCTAATTATCATATTTGTCTCCCTGTTGCACCCAGATATCAGAAAAAAGCTTCAAAGACTAGAAAGGTTTAAAGGAAACACTCTCAGAGTAAGTGAAGATAGCCCAAAAGTTCTTCAACTACCTAGAAAATCCACAGGACTGGAGACCTGGACTGAGCTAAAGGAACAAGCTTTCCCTACATCAAGTTCCTGTCTACCTCTGCTCTCAATCCAGTGATTCTCCTGCCAGATAATGATCACCCATTGAGGATACATAACTGTTTGGACATTATTGACTCAGTTTCAAACCTGTGAATTGACCTGACTGAGGTCCTGCTTGTCCAGCCTGAAGCCATCCTTCTCACAGATGACAGCAGTTACCTCCACCAAGGTAGTGGCAGGAGGGGTGGTGACTACTGAGACTGAGGTACTATGGGCCGAAGCTTTAGGTTTGGGAACTTCATGTTGGCAGACAAACTGATAGCCCTTACTCAAGCCCTAAGATGA